ATATATATATATATATATATATATATATATATATATATGACTTATGTATCTTATATATCTATACATGTGAGCAATTAGAGTGAAGTACTTGGTTGTGGAGAAGACGTTTTCGAGCACACGGGAGAACTCCATATCATATACCGTTGAAAAGTTCCAATTTTTTAACATCTTCCGAGCATGTAAGCACTTTTCTGGTTGGTATTTAAATTATCAGCAAACATTGAAGAGAACTTTTTACGCAAAGAACATCTAATGCAAAATCTGCTTATTTTAATTCAGTTTCCTCGTTTTCGAATTTTTTCGCTCACATTTTTTGTAAATTATCTGTTGTAGTGTTTGAAAATGGTGCATTCTTCCTCTGTTACTCCTTTTTTTTCGTTTTTATTCTCTTTCTTTCCCGTTCTTCTTCAGTTACTCTTCGTATATTATTCTTAATATTTATTTTTATTTATTTGGAAAAATACATTTTTGAAGCAATATTAGAAATAGCTTTGAGCAGCATTTCTTTTGCTTTTTTCGTGTCTTTCTTTATAAGTTACATATTTTCGTTAAAATACTTATTGTTACTTTTCTTCTTTTCGTTTAGTTTTGTTTTACAATCTGCTTAATAAATGTAAAGTTATCTAAAATTCATGCAAGCCTATTGGTTTAATATTAAACTATCCTTTGTATATGAGTATATATATGTTCTCCAACTTGATTGAAGAGTTATTATAGAAAACCCAATTGTAATAAAATATTCACTAAAATTACTCTTGTAAAATAACTTGTATATTGTTATATGGTGGTCAGTATGCTGTTTATTCTGATATTGTATTTTTACTATGTACAAAAAGGGTTTTCATAGTCATTAATACCTTTCTTCACTATTATTATTAAGATATTTTTTTTATCACCGGACACTATTAATGTATGTTTTATCAAGAGGAACATTGCTCACGAGGAGAAATATGAAATAAATTTATTGAGGAATAATCAGAAATATTTGTATACATATATTTTTATAAATTTTATTCATATTTATAACAAAAAAGACTACTACTACTTCTTAGATATAATATTTCCATCTATCGTAACATTGGATATGAGAATATCCCCTTCTGTGTCTAACATGAAAATAATTTCTTCTGGTAAGCTTTTTGGGACAGACGAGAAACCCGAGCAATCCTCATCGTGGCACTTCTGGTATATCTCTTTCTTATTCAGATCCGCAATCCAATATACATTGTTGCTTTTATGCCACCTGCCAATGTTCTCACAGAATCTGCAGTAGAGCAATGTAAAAAATAGTATTACGCACTTCACATTACATGTACATAGGAAATAAAAAAAATCAATAATTATTCGAAATATCACTGTACAATTACTTGCCTGTTACCATAAATTTCATATTTCACTGTCTTGGTATTATCGAAGTATTTAGTGACACGTATCTTGCCAGGATCAATGATACTGCGAACATACTTATCTATTTCAGGATATGGTGATGTCTGGTTGTCATCCTTGCGAACAGTTTGCGTTAATATTTTGGAATAGAGTTGAGCCGTCACGTTGCTACAATTCAGGAATTCTAGCAGAATTAAATTTGGCTTGTTCGGAAAGTACGATATCAGGGAATCCAAAAAGATTCCCAATTCCTTCTCTTTGCATGCATTCAGTAGAGTGTGTGTGCAATCTGGAGACATGGTTAAGTACGACTGTTTTCCCCATTTGGTAGATAGATATATTCTAAAATGTCTATTCTTTGTATAGACACCGTTGTCAATAAACAATTTTTTGCCATGCGTTGCTGTTTCCACGATCATTTCCTCAATGTCGGTTTTGTTAAAGGGTTTCAAAATTCCATGCGGCTGCGAACTATCAGACTTCAAGTAAAGCACGATATCATTGTATATTGTTTTTATGAGTCTTCCGACGTGCGAGTTGTCTCTGAAAGCCATGTCTTTCATTGTAAAAATAACGTGTCTGCTGAACTTTTCGCTGGAAGTAGAATCCAGTATTAAAATACTGTTTCTATCACACAACAAGTGATAGTGATTGAGTAGGTATGTGCGTATAATGTCTATCAATGTTTTGGTCATGCGTGAGCCATCACAGAGGGGATTTAACTTGATTTGGTACTCTAAATCCAGATACAGCCAGCACGGCGAACCTTTTGGTATTACCTGTCGAGTTGACAATAACTCGGTGTGTTACGCACGAGGAAACGCATCGAGAACTAAACTAAATCTAAAGATTCAAGATTATTACGGCGCATTTTTTGAACAAACGAAACCACGGATTAACGTAACTACCTCGTACGAACACCTCTGCTCCTGCGGTTTGGCTCTGTAGTACCACCAGTACACCTCCGGATGCGCGACGACGAATTTGCGGCTACCGTCGCTGGCTCGCTGATACACGAAAGTGCAAAGCGTGTCCGTTTTCGTGCTACGTTCGGCGGCCACGGCCAGCGCGTCCGCTTGTTTGGAAAATTCCTTCCAATATTGCGTCGGGCCCAATATGTGCGACGGCATGACGCGGTGTATCTTCACCCAGTTAGTGTCGGATTTCGGTTTCTTTCGCTTACATACTCTACCGCCGTAAAATTTCTCCGCGCTGATCGTATTCATCGCACAATTATTTTACTTCGCACGGATCGATCGGCAATACCAACGGATCAATCACCATTATTCCGTCGTAATCTGCAACGTTGCCTCGTAATCGTGCATACGATCTCGTTCGAAATCAGCTGATGCCAACGATTTCCCGCCAGTTCCGGCAGCCGTCCACACATTGAATTTGCGAAGTAACTAGATGAAGTTCGTCGCGTTCGTCGAGTATTAGTTCTGGAATACGACGAGCCGTGCGCTGCGATCGGTGGCGTCTCTGCGCGGCGAGACGCGCGCATCTCTCTCTTCCAAAGATGGAGCGAACGGAAGATCGGGCGCGGGAGTACAAGTAAGTTGGTTTGACAAATCTCCCCGCGATTTTCGCATAAATTCCGCCAACAACTTCAGATCTCAGATGTCTGTCACGCGCTTGTTTTAGTAGCTGACGAATGGCCTCGAATAATGATACCGCAATCGCTCGAATTCGTCCTTTACTTATCGCGCTTCGCTTGGCGTCCATGTTTGAATTACAATTGTAGTCGAAAGTAACGGTCTACTTGTCCCAATTAGCCCGACACGCATAAAATTATCGCGCGAAACGTTTTAGCAGCGACCGTTTATCAGAGACAAACCGACGGGAAAGATCAAAAAGCGGATACAATCGGCGGGAATGTATCGCGAGACTCGCGAAGCAAGTACGCGTGTGTCGTGTGATAAGCTTAAGAAGATTCGCTCATCAACTTTCGCTCGTCAATTGTGCATCGACAGTCGATCCGTCGGGCAACGAGTCAAGGGACACCCCAGCTGTTCTATCTGATTTCTTAATCCAGATTACCGTCGCGCACAATTCGTAAAACGTCGTCAGCTCCCGGCGACACGTTTATTTTCGTCGCGCTTGTCAACGCTTCGTCGCGACGATATGACTGAACGTCGACGCTACACGACGCTTCGTATCCTAATCTCCAAATCTTAACTCACACAGATCTGGTTCGAGAAACGGAGGGCTCGCCGGCGATGCGACGATAAGCGGGGCCCGAGGACGACGACGTATCTCCGCGGACGATCCTGCCGAACGAGACGCGCTTGATTCGAGGTACGGGAGAGTCCTTGCTCGAGAGCTTCGAGGCAGCAGGAGGGCACCGACAGCCAACCCCGGAGCCGAAGGGAGGAAGAGGAGTAAGCAGGTAAGTGTGCGCGCCGGAGTTTTCGATAACTACTATCAATTCGACGAGCGAGAGATATCCGATGATAACGCGGGGCGGCGACGCGCGTGTGTAGACGCTCGTCGTCACCAGGGCAAAGCGGTTCGCGAGGTGTCAGTGTCGCCGGCAATCTCGATGAATCGCGGTCCCTCGAATACTCGCGTGCGATCGCGCACCTTTCTTCTGCTCGTACGTATCTTCGACGATATTCGGTCGACTCGCGAGAGCGACGCACGGTGGTCGACTCTCTCTCTTCCCTCGAATCGGCTTCGCACTCGGTTTTGTGAAAATCCGCGATTTTACACGGCCTATTTTCGACACCTGTGCGCGCACTCGCGGAATGCAAGTGAGCGCATTGAGTGTCTCCGTCGATTGTGGATTTCGGCGAGGCAACTCACCCACCCACCCCCACTCACCCCGAAAGTCAAACATTTCCCGCGGTGATCGCGGCACGTAAATTCTCTCCGACGGAATATCTCCCAAGTGCTAACGCTTTGGAAATATTAGCGACTCGGAGAGCGGCTGGATAGTTTCGAAACGATTGCCCCGACGTCCACGTAATTGTACTCGCTATAATCTTTCATGATTCGTAATGTCTTTCAAAGTACTGATAACGCAGCGCACAGCAGATTACCTTGGCGTTAAGTAAATACGTTTACAAATCCTGCCAAGGAGCAAATGAGTCGAGCATAATCGACAAGTTGTTCGGTGAAATTAGATTCCTAATCTTTGAAATTATACACATACACACACGCACGCACGCACACTCGTTCATTCTTTTTATTCCTCATTTTTTCATGTGCGGGTCTTTCACGTACTGGTCGTGTCATTGCAGTAACGAACAGGTGACAAAGTGACGCTCGAGAGGGACGATTTATTTATTCGAGGGAAATTTACTCATCCGAGTGTACTTTCCGCCGCGAAGTAGAAGGCAGCCGCTGCAGTGGAACAATATCGGCTATGATCGGACGAAGGGTGCGAAATTAGAGAGCGCGAGACGAGTGTGTAGCGAACCGCAATACGACGGTGACGAGTGAGCTCGCGAATTGGTATCTTTACGTGGTGGTGCGGGGCTTCTTTCGCGATGATGATGAGGAAGATGATATTTCTCGTGTGATTGTGCGATGTTGAGCGCGATCGAGGCGATGTGACGTTTTACGACACTCGATCAGCGAAAGGTGCGGTCTAACTGGAGCCGATTCGCGTCGTCCTCTCGCTCGTATCCATGGGTTCCCGCAGGTTCGTCATGCTGACGATCCTATGGCTGATGCATCATCATCGGGTAGAAAGCAGGACCATAACCTGCCGCCAGGTGCAGCTGCATCGCGATTGCGATGCATTGTGCAGCGTGAACCGCCACGGCATGCTCTCTTGCGAGCTGAGGATCGCCGTTCTTCTGCCAGCGGACCCGAGTTTCGATATTTCCTTGCCTAAAGTTATGCCGGTTCTCGGTAAGGAGACTCGGACAGATCGGCGAATGCCAGGCTGAATAAAATCTAGCTCCGCGCAAGAGCGCAGATATTGGACGAGATATTTAATTTTGTCGAGATTAAAATTTTCTGCAAAAGATTCTACAAAAAATTCACTCCGCTGAATTTCCTCTGCAAATTATGCGACGCGCAACGTAGCTGAATAAAATTACATTTATCTTCCTTGATACACGTAATATACAGTTAAGATAGAATTATAGGTTCTTCAACAGCGCTCTGTGTCTGTTGCCTTATCTGAGCGGTAAACAAAGATAAATTAGTTTCACAATTTATGAATACAGCGTATTTCTCCGTGCTGCAAGAAACACTTTGCTTCTGTGCAGATTTAGCGCAATATGCAGCGAGAGCGCAGGATTTACTGCCGTATTGGTTGAAATTGAAGTTTCTACCGCAGGACGACCATTGTGACGCGATGTATGCGCAAATTGGCGCGATCGACAGTAACTCGCACTGTGTGCACTTGTTTCTCGGGCCGGCGTGCGATTATTGCGTCGGTATGTCATTTCAACTTCTCACGAACTTACACGTATTTATACATACTGATTTTTCCGAGAAATTATCGTCGTTGCAAAAGTAATAAAAAAGAAAGGGAAGATTTTAGAAGAAAATTTTCCGAGCGAATCGCTTTTGTTCCTTTTTTATTTCTTTTTGCACCGGTCTATATTTGCATGTAAAATTCGGTAGACGGCAAATTTGCTCCTCATTCTCTTTCTATTCTCTTTTGTTCTCATTATCACAAAATACGTTCGGGGCTCTTTTTTGTAGCGGCCGTTGGCAGAGTCGTGAAATATTTCGGGACACCGTTGATTACCACGGGAGGCTTCACGTTCGATTTCACCCAGAAGAAAGCCGAGTGCAAGGATGAGTACTTCATGACTACGAGGATCGGAAATTTGGCCTTCAGGGATATGGCCAAATTTTTTATAGCTATAATGAATCGGTACATATGTATATATAAACTCTATACAAATATTCATGTATTGGTTATATTATTGCTATTATGAAATCTTATTTCTTCTTTCTTTTTTCTATCGATGTATAAAATCCTTCGATTTTCTCTGTGAATAGCTACAAATGGCGTAAAGTGCATCTGGTTTATGCGACCAACGGGCAAAGTCAAGTCGCCGGTCGACACACCTGCCAGCTCATGATGAAATCGATGGTGGAATTCATCAAAAAGGAGCAGGATATTACTTACGGCACTTTCGACGTCGAAAGTACGACCCATAAGGATTACCCGGAGGCGCTCAAGGAACACGTCGGCAGTTCGTACGGCGGTGAGTACTTCTTTTATTACTTGTTATATCTCACTCAAGTCCCGTTTAATTTCTCCGTACGGCATTATCCGCCGATGTATATTATTTATGCGTATAATATAACTATTATTCATCATCCTACCTTACTCACTTTTTCGCTTATGAAATACGGCATCGTGGTATCGAACTCAGATTAAAGAGATATTAATCGTCGCTTCGTGTGTTTATCCATATTTATCGCATACCACGGCTTTTAACTGATTGTGTCGTAAACCACGACGCTCCAATTGCCGTAAACAAGCATTTAAATATAATTGTCGTTTTGTTATAATATGAAGAATTGCCGATAAGTACACTGTGTCAATATCTCGCACGCTCCACGGCCTCGCGATGAAATGTATGCAGTTCCGATATGTGCATCCTGAGAAAATATCAACGCTCGATGAATAAAACATTAGCGATTATTATTAAGATTAGAATCGGTCCAACAGTCAAATTTTCTGCACTTTGATCTGATATATCTAAAATTATTATGCATCTTATCGGCATCTTTCGTCTACTGAAAGCTCTGCAGAAAGCAATAATCATTTCTCAACATTTTAATGTTTTTAAATTATAGCGATATAAATAATTTAACCAATGAAAGTTATCTTCGCTTACGTCTTTTTAATTGTTCCGAGAAGTTAGTGGAAGCGTCGCTTTAAGCATTCGCTATAAATTTGACAATAATCAATACGTGGCGGGTGAAATGAAGGAAAGGTGATACATCACGTCATTAATCATCTCGAGAGGTTTTATTCCGGTTGTAATTCGCTGTTGTTTTTCCCTCTGTGCCTACGTAGGTATAATCGTTTTTTTCTTAATGCCGGTTAGACGGATATTTATACACTGGACAGAGATCTCTTGTAAAATACATTTTACACATACATTTTGCTAAAATGAAAAATTAATCGCTCATTTTAAATCTTTAAATTTTGCCGCTAAATAAATAAAAGTATCTATAAAAAGTAATTATTGATATATGTGTTATATAAGTGTTGATATATGTGGCTCTTAGATAAATAGATTCTTTATAATGTCGATAACGGGAAAAAGGTATTTGCACAATTTTTTTGTTTAATTTTCTATAATCACTAAATGAAGCATGGCTTATCGTATCGTTTCGCGTGTTATCGCGTAGCGTTATCGTGCTTGAGTATTTCTATTATTGATATCTCTTTTCATACAGTTTGACACGCGTCAGAATGTCTATATATAAACATTTCTTTAATGAATTTATATACCACAATTGCTTATCGATATCTATTTAAAATGTTACAATGATTCTCGTCCTGACGATCACATGTGTCGTGCATATACATGAAGCTATATACCGCGATGCTATTATAATAAAATAAATAGAAACAAACGCAACATATGTCGTGCATATACATGAAGGTATATACCGCGATGCTATTATAATAAAATAAATAGAAACAAACGCAACATAAAAATAAATTGATCAACGATATAAAGACAATTTTATATCAATAAACTTTTCGCATTTTGTATCTTATGTCATATAAGTAATATAAATGTTACTCAGATATATTTTGTCAAAAATATTAAGAAATATTTTTATTCGACATATGAATCGGCAGTTTTGGTGAATCTTAATAGATATTTCGAATACTGAGATCTTTTATCAACCGTCGAAAAGTATTGGTTTACCGCGGAGGATTCGCTAGAGCGATCTTGCGTTGGTAAGAATCGTCGGTAACGAATTACGTTAGAGGGAAAAAGAGATTGAATTGTTTCTCAAATTTCTATTTTTTAAATATACATATCCGTAGAATATTTTTATGTGTCTCATACAAATGCGCATTTATAAGATTTGCATTTAGTTGTTTCCATACAATTTTGGCTCCGCTCGGTTTTAACGAATTCAGCCAGATTTTGATTATACGGCACACATTGCTACAACCATTTCGCGAGGGAAGTGATTTCTGTTATCCGCGTTACTGTTACGCGAAACGATACTGTTTGTGAAAATGTCACAATGCGATAATCAAGTACATTATCTCGCGCGTCATTATTTCGTGGAAAATATTATCGCATATTCGTAAGTTACGCGAAAACTGGGATAAGCGTTTTTATGCAACTTGAAAATTGAAGAACTTTAAAACGCGCGGCGTGATGCGGACATGTCATTGCCATTCACACTCGTCACACAAAATACATTTGCGAACGTCGTCGGCATATTATGCGTAAAACATCGAAAACGAGTCGCGGAGGGATGTGCAAATAAGTACTGATGACCTATGTCACCTGTGTCGCATAAATATTGCAGCTTTATGGTATGTAGCGAAGTTGAACAGCATAAAAGCATTAAGCTTAATGGCAGTAAGTACCGTCGAAAGTTATGTCTTCCACGATAAGGACATTAGCGAATGCTTTTAAGTTCCTCCGACTCCGAGCGGAAGGAACGATGAGAACGTCTACACAAAAATCTTTAACGATCATCGAATGCGACGTGACACACCTACATGTTACGACGTCGGTGTAAAGTGCAGGGTGTTTCCTGTTTCTTAAGTTTTTTTCCACGTTCGATCCTTCCGATCGGTTCGGAGCGACGGAATATCACGACGATCGATTAATCTTTAAATCTAAATTTAGTTGAAGTAAAACGCACTTCTAATTACATGAATATCTGATTGGACTGACAAACGTTGGACAACGCGACGTGTGAGAGAGATTTTGGGCTTGGAGATTGTTATTTGAAATTTAGGATTTTATAAATTTCTTTTCTACTGCCTTATGCCTCAGATTTATGCCATTCTTTGCGCTATCACGTACCGCTGATGACAGATACGTTTCCACGATGGGACTCTCCCAATCAAGTTAGAAAGCTATTCTAAATGATAGATAGACTACGTGGGCAACTCTTACGTAAGTGACACGTTCGACAGTTCTTTCACTTTGAAGATCAGAAAGCCGATCTTGATGGAATGCACGATAGGTACACGGAAGAAACGCGCGTGCTTAAAACGATGATTGCGAAAGGGTGAGAGGGAAGATACTGAAAGATTGTAAATCTCATTTTGCGCCTAATAAATATTCACATGCATTTTTCCTTACTGCGATATGCGATTACTGTCGTACATATAATTCGGAGTGATTTATTATTGAGGAATGAGTGAGTCACTAATAGCGAATAGATTTATTTGGGAAGGGAGTGCACACAGTTGACGATTGCAATCTCCGAGTTATCGATAATTTCCACTCCAGCATTGTCACGTACGTGATCTCAGATACTGCGAGGTTCTATTTCTTTGCCAGTATTTGTGGACATGCAGGTAGAGTGGCGCGTTATCGATAAGAAATAACACGCGATGGGTACACACTTCTTTCTGATTTCCCCGGGAGATATTATTAATACTCTCTAAATTTGTTTCTCCTTTCTCTTAAAAAAAAAAAAAGCTAAAAGCAATGAGTCGGCCTTTCGTCGTGCGAATTGCAAATTTTCGTATTTCGCATGCCAAGAGAAATGTTTACTCTCGCGTACTATGCGCTATCATTTTTACACGAAGCAAATTACGAGGGAAATCGGGGACCGTACAGTAAATTCCTATGAGATTTCATCGGGAGAGTGCTGCGTCATATCCCGGATCTACTGCGAAGTGCTTTAGGATCAGATTCTACGAGCTTTTTTCCCCCCTTCTTTTTCAACAAAAACGCGAAACGAGGTGTTTATTCGTTGCAACTTTACCATTTTCAACTTAAAAGTTCGCGCGACGAGCAAGTTCCAAATGAAATTTCTGTTGAAACTAAAGTTAATCCGCGGGTGAAATTAACCAACAAACGGAGTTACGTTCCGATCCATTTACACTCCCACTTGCACAGGCTTAATTCGCGAAGATCCTTTTACAGTTCCGAAGTGCGGAGCGCCTAACTCGTAAGTAGGAGTCCCCGATATTGCGTATTCCGCGCGACTGTATCTCTCGCGCGAAATTTCGAAGAAATTTACCTTAAAAAAATAAAGAAAATAGAGGAAGGACGCGTTCGCTATCGCGTATCGCTCACTCATCGGGGAATTATCTCCCGAGGTGATTTCTTCTCCACGGCTTCCTGAGGATCCCATACAATCGCAAACGTCTGTCACTCTCCGAAGGCAGATAACCCGTCCTGTAGTAGCTTATCACTTCTAACCCGCAGTCCTAAACGCTCCTGTCCATGCCCCGTGGCGATTCGCTGCGGAATGAAAGGTGTGGTGTGTACCAAGAGGGTGTACAGAGGATCGACGCATGCGTTCCATTTCCTCGTTGTCTACCTTCGTAGAGGCGCACAGCGACGTCCACCTACACGATCTCGGAGTGGCGCGTATTCGCCTAGAGCGAGGCTGGCCGATGTGGGGGTGCGATAAAGAGAGAGAGAGAGAGAGAGAGAGAGAGAAACCGGCGGATGAAGATAGATAGATAGACAGATCGGGAGATGGATAAGGAAAGAGAAGAGAGGGCGGAGAAGGCCGGCGGGATCGAAGGGAGGAAAAGAGAGAGAGAGAGAGAGAGAGGGCTGGAAGCGGGGGGAGAGAGAGAGAGAGAGAGAAAGAAAGAAAGAGAGAGAGAGAGAGAGAGAGAGAGAGAGAGAGAGACGACAGATGAGGATGGAGAGGAGGAGTGATCGTCGACTTCGGTGGGCGATCCGGAGCACCGTGCTTTCCTTCGGCCCGCTCTCAGTTTCAATCGCGCGCTCCGAGCTTGCTCCGAGAGAGCGCGAGGCGAGAGCCCGCGGTGATCGGTGCAATTCTCTCTCATCGCGATCGATCGAGGAAACGTAACCGATAGGCTTCCGCCTAGATCGCAGTGGGCCGACGGACAGTTTGAAATGATCGATTGCTCGGACAGATGAGCGAGGAGAGGCCGGAGTCTACGATCAGTTCGATCGCCCTACGTCGATCGATTCCCGATCGAGAAGCTGCCAGGCCATCGGTGCGACCCTCGGAAAGAGACCGGCTGTCCCCGCAAAGTTCGCGAAGTCGACGA